TCTGGCGTCAATCTTGCCCAGTCAATTCCGCCCAAAGCCTTTGATGTCGAGGATTCGCGGAGATGTCCTTCGGGGCATTAGTTGGCCATCTGCAGGCAGATCAGTACCGACTTTTGGGCATGTCTGAACAATGCGTTGCATCCCTCTGCCCGGATATGCCCACGAGCAGTGATGCCCACGAGAAGTCGCCCAGAGATCTGGTGGCGTCCTCACGCCATAGCGTTGATTCACGCGGCGGATTTCTGCGAGTTTGGTTTTTGCTTGAACTGCCTGCCACGGATGCTCATGGCCCTGAACCTCTCCGGCCCAATATTGGGCGAGAGACTGGTCTATGCGTGCCGCTAGGCATGAGGCACGACCAAGTGATCCAGCTATGCATCTGCTGGATGGGATCTTTGGATAGTCTCGAGTCGGTCCGAGACAAGGTCGCATGCCTTGGCAGTGATTTATTGACACATGCGCATACAGACAAGTGATTTTTGCCAGATACTACAATGCTTCTGCATTGTATATCGACATCTCCGCCAGCTCTCCATTGGCAGGGATGTTTTCGCACTGGCATAGAACGAATTCCACTCGTTGCTGGGCACCCGACTTTGAGATGTCGTCTTGATTATCTTGGACAAGTCGGGAATCAGCTGTAGTGACATGCCGTAATATATCTTGACAGTTTGTTGTGCGTAATCTTGAATTGCTATTACACTCTGATCTCGGCTCGGAAGGCTGTGCTGCATTGGAGCCCTCCAACGTCTATGTAATGCCTATGCCTCTTTGACTAACAAATCCAATAAAAAAAGGGAAAATTGGCACACAAGGTCGGTAACACTCGGATGTGGCACTCATGTAAGTAACATGTTTCCCAATGTAGCTGTACAATTAAGAGCTACCGTCTGACTCTCGTGGCCAGGCCAACCACACAAAGTGTATGTACGTCGGTCCTAGTAACGACTGGATACAATCGTGTAAACATTGATTGCAATATTAGCGCCCGCAATTTCCGGCGCCACCCGCATCTCATCTCATCTCATCTCGTACTCTAATATTTATCAAACTCAATTAATCGAGCACAACCTTACCACTTGCCGATTTAATCAAAAAAAAAACAGTTTAATTAAAAAATTGGATCCGCACATCCGACGCGTATGTTTCTGGAGATAGCACGGCTCCCGAGCCTTCCGGGTATGGTGGGTCTCCACCGGCCGTACGGAACCGGCGGACATGCGAGTATCAGAACCGAAATCAAAAGGCACGAGCGGTGTAATGCATTGACAAATGATTCCATCATTGTATTCTGTAGTCAGTGAACAGGCATGTGGGTGGTCAATTGCCGGGAAGCGGAGGGACCGGAACCAAAGGTACAGGTTCGAGCTTACAATGCCGGAAGTGGCTGCAGCAAAGAGAGGATTCACGGCATGACGTATCAGGACGCTAGATATAAAAGGGGACTGCTTGGAGTGGTCCGTGAACAGATAAGACGAGCGTGTACAATCAAGTATGTGTTTCGTGTTGTCGAATCGGCACACATGGCGGCAATCCGAGGACAGTTGCGATTTTGAACGTCGGCATCCTACGCTTCCGAGGGACCTTCGCGGTGGCTCGAGTGACACTATTATTATTAGTTATTGGCTCCAGTTGACGTTATAGCGGCGGCCAGCTGGATGCCGTGGCGCAAGGTGCGCCGGCCGGCTGTTGAGCTAGTTTCTTCACATGGCGGGCTGCGTTTGGGAGCGTGGAGCGTGTCGGCATGTGTGGCAAAGACAAGTATTCCCGTTTTTCTGGTAATGACGAACCATTTTCAGGGCACCCGCTGCAATAACATGATGGCTACTCCTGACGCTTTTCGGAAGGAGAAACACGCGTCGTCGAAAATGTCATATTCGACTTGGCAGGCGGAAGAGCATGTTCTTTGATGCCGGAAATAATGCGCAGCCTTGCTTTTATCTAAGAACTTCGCTGATTCAGAGACGAGCTCGCGCTGGCAGATAAGTCCACGGAGTCTTGTTGCCGCTTTTGTCGACTGTAGTTTGGATCGTATATAACTTGAGATGTGTGAAATTAAGTTCAGCCAAGTAAAGTGAGACTGACCAGACAAAAGTGCAGCAAATCGATATAGGATAGCCGACCAATGTTGAATTCTTGTTACACATGGATAATGGACTCGGCATAGATCATGTCAAGTTGGATACGAAATTCATTCGTTTTGGTTTTAATGGCGAATACGTTGTATAAGGGACGTGGACCTGGCAAAATGTTCGTTTAGCAGGCTGAATAGCAGATGCTGCGACATGGCACGCTCCATCTCCGTTCGGACTTCTCTAAAGAAAGGACTACACTCCAGCTTGATGCAAAAAACACCATGTCATATTCAATAAGAGACTACTTTGCAAATGATGGAAATATATACCAGGGCGGATATAGATTGGCATTTGGGCTCTTGTCCCCTCCCATAAAGCGAGTCATCGTGCCTCGCACGTGTTGCCCAATGTGTCAAGACCACCAGTTGACATTGTAATATGCGAGTTCGTATGTATGCAAGTTGTTGGAACAAGTGATGCGTGGATGGATATATCGTTGGATCGAATAAGCTGCGTCTGCATAATATAGCAATGGAATCACAAAAAAATCATCTTAGGAAGTGAAATTACTTTGCTATTTTATGTGTCTAATGTTGTATTAGAGGTAGTATTTAGTTCATGGATTGCGGGGATTGAAGCGACGAGCCAGTCCAACACATTTATGGAAAGTTGCTGTAACCTCGGGTAGGAGCAAGAGTTAGTGTAAAAAGTCTCAGTTCACGAAGAAGGCATAGGGTAGGCCGTTTTTTGGTGTTGGCTTGGCCTCGAAAATGACCAGGAATTTTTACTAGAAAAAGCTGTAATTGTGATCCGGACGGTGAATGGCCAATCCCTCTGGCGACCTTGATTTGTTGAAGTTTCTATAGATATAACACACATGACGTCAACATGTGGGAAAACACGACGGCGACTTTTGGGCTTTGTTCCGTCATCAAATTGCAAGTGATATTCATGCATGTGGTGAAAACTGCATGTCACAGTTTGTCTTAGATTTGACATGGTGCAAGCCATTTTCCCCTGGGCAGGTGCCTTTCAGGCATACTATTGGTCCGGGCGATTTTGGGCCCTCGGCTCCACTTCCGGAGCAGATGCGCCGGAGTAGGTACACAAGGGCACGTTGAGATATCAGCATTTTGTGTTTACGTTGAGCCATTGAAAGGATAATAAATCTCGCCGGAGAAAGACGCATCATGTAATGAAGCAAACGGCGCCCAAATATACGCGTGCAGGTTAGAACTAGTGGCCAGTACAGAACCCAAAGCATTTCTGCTATGTGCATCGCGGGACAGCTAGGGTCTTGGTCGGTCCAGATCGAGGAACAAGGAGTCGACAGGGAGGGGCAATGGTGCATGGATTTGTACAGTGCGGCCAACGGTCGTGGCTTGCCCAGGTCGCCGCTTTGCACCTAGCTTGTTAGTTGCAAGCGAATGACTGAGAGCTGGCGGCTGTGGCAGGCGGCAGAAAGTAATCAACTGTGGATTCCAGAGATTGGTAGGAAAGGGGTTTCGCCGTGAGTACGGAATTGGTGATGGCGAGCGCGCTACCCATGCAATTGAATGCTCGAGCAGGTGTTATTTGCCAGACGGTCAGGAGACTTGATAAAAGCCAACCGGTGCCACGTTTGGGATTGCGTACAGGTCGCTTGCACTGCCTCAGCAAAATGACTAGATTGAGGGGAGTCGACAATATATATCGGGACCATCAAGGCCACCTGGGAACTCAAATCTTCAGCCTGCTTCCAAGAGTCCCTTCCAGGAGCAAGCTGCTAGTCGGCTTATTCTCATCGCATCTCGGACGAGAGGTCAAGTCAGCAAGCAGTACAACTCGCACAGCGGCGGCACCCACCAATCGAGTGTCTCTGCGGACCAGAGAATGCTCGCTGCGTGGCTCTCAATCCGGAAGCATCACGAAAGGCCTAGTCCTTCGAAATGCGCATCTGACAGTGGAACGCAAGGCAAACGCGCCGGAGACGTGTTCTGGACTCGGGAAAGACCCTGGCTACTGGCCGCCCTGGTTTGGTATACCGGGACTCTGGCACCAGATCGACCTTGTGCCTCCCGATGGCCGTTGTAAGAGTCGATGAAAGGAAGACTTGACAAGTCGACCACGTGAATGGAGCAAAGGGACTGTGGGATGAAAAAGTGAAAATGGCATAGTCGGTACTACTAATGTGCATGCATCCGCAGGTTCATTTGCTCCAGTGCCAAGTACGGGTCCCGCCCACCCACACTGTGCGCCTCATACTCCCCCACTCTCGTCTTCTGTGCGCAAAAAGCCCAAGTCCATCGCCAGAACTTAGTAGCTATTGTAAATATATATGTATTATCTTGTTCAGGCACATACATGCAACCATGTGCATTGCTCGGATAGGTACGAAGAGCTTGGGGTCAACTACCTACCTTAGGCACCTACCCAGGTACCTACCTACTCAGGTACTTAAGTAGTAGGCAACTACGGAGTAGGCACCTAGTATCGACGCCTCGTCCCTTCCCCCCCTGGTCTCCACACGCCACCTCTCAAGTCCTGTCTGTGTCTGGTCTTGGGACTTGCGTCCCCCGCGGCTCTGCTTGTTGAACCTGGCGAGCTCGACTTCTGCAACGTTTTATGCTGTTAGCAAGCCGTTGGGTTTTGTATCTGGACCTCCTTTGTCCCATGTTGAGGGTAAAATAGCAATTCTGGCATCTCGGGCTCGGCCGAAGCAAAAATTGTTTAATCGTTCCACATCTGCCTCTTCAAGCGGCTGCACCTGGGCGCCACTTAGATCATCCCGGCATGCTGTGAGCCATCTGAGCCATCTGAGCCATCTGAGCCATCATTTTCGCCACAGTAGCTGCCCCTTCCTCTCCAGGCGCTGCTTCAAAAGCGCCATAGTCTCAACCATCGCGGCCGTGACTATTAGGTCACTTCCCTTCATCTTGCTTCACCATGGGCCATTCGAAGCAACACGACAAAGGCTCGCCGGCGCCGCCGTCCGAACCGCCACACCTGACGCAACAACACGAAGACCCTGCCTCACTTGGCCACCTGCGAGCTGCGTCGTCTGCTTCGTCATCTCGGGATACACAAACTGCGGAGACCTCGTCAGTGCCAGACGAACGAGCGAGCAGCGTTGGCGGGCATGGCGCATTTTCACCATGGAGTGCAGGATCTGAGAGGCAACTGGGGCATCATTCTGCTGCTTCAGATATATCGGGAGATCGTGTCTTTCCGATCCGCTCTGTTATTAGTGTCGAACCAACGCCCAGACAGTCGATTATGGACGAAAACTTGAACCAATCATCTGATGCTGACAGTCGTCGCATTTCTGGCCATTGGACATCCTATCGAGGTGACTCGTCAAGCGACACAAGAAGACTAGAATTTGCACCCATGTCGCCCACAGCGGGACAACCCAGCGGCTCTTGCGCGGATTTGCGCAGGAAGAGAGCCATGAGCGGGCCCGTGTCGAGTATACACGCTGACGCTGTGCGCCAGGGCTCTGTGGCGCCATTGCAGCTTGAAATTTCCGCGTCAGACCACGGTAGCCAGGAATCCGGACCTTTGGGTGTTGGTGATGTCGCTGCTGGGCCTGACAGTGCCTCGATTACATCTGGCAACCAGTCACTGGGCGAGGTGCCTCATATCACGACGCGCTTCACCCACGTCGAGACGGATGAGGGACATGCTATTATAACTGGACGCGATGGGATATTGCAACAATGCGAAGACGAGCCAATCCATACCCCCGGTGCAGTGCAAGGTTTTGGGGTTCTTCTAGCCCTTCGGGAAGATGGTAGTGGCGGCTTCTCGGTACGATATGCCAGCGAAAACTCGGGCAAAATTATCGGATATACGCCAAAGCAGTTATTCCGTCTTAAAAGCTTCTTGGATATCTTGACTGAAGAACAACAAGATAATTTGCTCGACCACATAGACTTCATCCGTGATGAAGATGCTGATCCTGCCATCAATGGACCAGAGGTTCTCAGTCTCTCCATCAAACCACCAAAAACGGGCAAAAGCATCAAATTATGGTGTGCTATCCACATCAACAATGCCCATCCCGATTTAGTCATTTGCGAATTCGAACTAGATGATGACCGGGAATACCCGCTTCGTCCTGCAGACGAACTTACCCCCGATACACCCCACGATACCCTTCATTCAAACCCCACACTAGAAGAGATAGAAGAAAGCACAGAGATACTCAGCAAACCGTTACGAATTCTGCGGAGTGCAAGAAAGCGCCGAGGAGAGCAGGGGGCAATGCAAGTATTTGACATCATGTCCCAGGTGCAAGAGCAGCTGGCATCTGCTCCTAATCTGGACACATTCCTCAAGATTCTTGTGGGCATCGTAAAGGAGCTGACTGGTTTCCATCGTGTCATGATATACCAATTTGATGCATCGTTCAACGGGAAGGTTGTCACGGAACTGGTCGATACGTCTCAAACCGTCGATCTTTACAAGGGTTTGCATTTTCCAGCTTCGGACATTCCACGACAGGCACGAGAACTGTACAAGATTAACAAAGTTCGCCTTCTATACGACCGGGATCTCGATACAGCACGAATGGTGTGCCGAACGAAAGAAGACTTAGACGTTCCTCTTGACATGACTCACGCATATCTTCGTGCCATGTCTCCTATTCATCTCAAGTATTTGGCTAATATGGCGGTGCGGTCGTCAATGTCTATTTCTATAAACGCGTTCAACGAGCTTTGGGGGCTGATCTCTTGCCATGCCTATGGCAACCATGGAATGCGTGTGTCTTTCCCAATTCGCAAAATGTGTCGCCTGGTTGGAGACACTGCGTCTAGGAATATTGAGAGGTTGTCCTATGCATCGAGGCTTCAGGCAAGAAAACTCATCAACACAGCTCCTACTGATAAGAACCCATCGGGGTATATTATCGCGTCATCAGACGACTTGTTGAAGCTATTTGATGCTGATTTTGGTCTTCTATCAATACAAGGCGAAACCAAGATGTTGGGTACAATAGAGCATAGCCAAGAGGCCTTGGCAATGCTGGAGTATCTTCGAATGAGGAAGCTTACGGCAGTTGCATCATCGCAAGACGTGCGAGAGGACTTTCCAGATTTGAAGTACCCTCCCGGATTCCAGGTTATTGCTGGGCTTCTGTATGTTCCGCTAAGTGTGGGCGGTAATGACTTCATTGTTTTCTTTCGCCGTGGCCAAATCAAGGAAGTGAAATGGGCCGGCAATCCATACGAGAAAGTTGTTCGAGATGGTACTGTGGGCTATCTTGAACCCAGAAAAAGCTTCAAGATTTGGAATGAAACCGTTCTCGGAAAGTGCCGTGAATGGAACGAAGAGCAAGTAGAAACAGCAGCTGTACTCTGCCTGGTTTATGGTATGCTTTCAGGAGGCCATCCTACTCACACAAAAACGATGCTAATCAGTGATTATAGGTAAATTTATAGAAGTTTGGCGGCAAAAGGAGGCAGCACTCGAAAATAGCAAGCTTACAAGGCTCCTTTTGGCCAACTCTGCCCACGAAGTGCGAACGCCGCTCAATGCCATCATCAACTATCTCGAAATTGCACTTGAGGGCTCATTGGACCACGAAACTCGCGAGAATCTGGCTCGTTCTCACTCAGCCTCCAAGTCCCTGATTTATGTGATAAACGATTTACTCGACCTCACAAAGGCCGAGGAAGGCCAAAGCTTGATCAAAGATGAAGTATTTGACCTGAGTGCGTGCATAGAAGAAGCAACCGAACCATTTCACGTGGATGCAAAACGAAAAGGCATCGATTACCAGGTCACAAAGGATCCTGGACTCCCTCAATTCGTCCACGGCGATAGCCGAAGAGTCCGGCAGGCACTATCAAACATCACCGCAAACGCTGTTGCACATACCCACCAAGGATCAGTCACTGTTGAGATGTTTGTTTCCGAAATTCGGGATGGGATGGCCTTGGTCGATTTTGTTGTGGCCGACTCAGGCATCGGCATGAACCCAAGGCAGTTGGATGCTCTTTTCCGAGACTTAGAGCAGGTCAGCAGCGAAGAACTCGAATCGCCGTCTCCCGAGCCTGTTGATAAGCAGCGTGAGACGAGAACCTTGGGCCTGGGTCTTGCCGTAGTTGCTCGAATTGTTAGAAACATGGATGGCCAGCTTAGATTGAAGTCCGAGGAGGGTCAAGGGTCCAGATTTGTTGTCCAATTGCCCTTTCATCTCCCAGATGATAGTCTAAGCCCAGAGTCCGGTGGACATTCTCAAGACAGTTCATCTGCAACTCACACTGGCAAAGTGATTGCTTCAGCATCACCGAATCTCAAGGCTACACCGGCCGGAGAGATTATGCTCATAGAGCGTGGAAGTCATAGCAACATGGCAGCTGACATGGATAAAAGGTCGACTGGAACGGGCAGTGCGGGCAGCCGCCGTAGCGTGGAGAGCCTTGTAAGCCACGGTAGCCAGAAGAGCGATGCCGAACGTCTTATCGACGCCATCCAGACACCCCTTTCTCTTAACGAAAACCAAACCGGATACTTTGCTCATGGTCAGAGTTCCAAAGGCAATAACATCCAGCCCGCATCTCTTACCAGTACCGGAACTGTTCGACCCCCCAGCCCCGGGCCCCATAAGCAAGATGCGCCTTTCCACCCCCATCCGCGACATGAGCCGGGTACCGCCGAGATTCGAGACTCAAAAACTCGTGTCAAAGCCGTAAAGATGCCTGATGAGTTTGTGGACCTGCCACCCCGGATTCCCAAGGGAGACAGTTCCGGCGTTTTGCTCCAACTTCCCAGTCAGAAGCCACAACAGTCGGCTACTGTGGACAAGGGAGCATCGTCAAACAAAGAGCCTTCGCTCAACATACTAGTGGCAGAAGACGACCCAATCAATATGAAAATTCTTCAAAAAAGATTAGAAAGAGTTGGGCACACCGTACAGCATACCGTTAATGGCGAGGATTGCGCAATGGTTTACAAGGACAAGTCCCCTGACTTCGATGTCATTCTTATGGATATGCAGGTGAGAATATTAATCTCAGAATAGCCATCCGCACATACTAACCCCTGGCTTAGATGCCCATTGTGGATGGTTTAACTAGCACAAAAATGGTTCGGTCTACCGAGCAATCCAGCGAACACAAGGGCCACTCGGCAATGGCAGACGCCAACCGAAGAATACCGATTTTCGCTGTCTCTGCATCTCTTGTCGAAGGAAACAGGCAGGTGTACGTGGACGCTGGGTTTGATGGATGGATTCTGAAGCCCATTGATTTCAAAAGGCTCAGCACCCTCTTGGCTGGCATTCATGAAAGCGAAACGAGGAATGCTTGCCTATATCTCCCTGGAGAGTGGGAACGAGGCGGCTGGTTTTCCTCCGTAGAAGGGAACGGCAGTGAGGACACACCATGCTCACAGACAACGCCGACCGCTGATCCGGAAAGTCATCAGTTAGAAGGAAGTGTGAAGACGGAATCATGAAGCGAGCTAGGAGGGGTATTTCACACCATTGACATTGCAAGGGTACAACGAGCCCCTTTTCAGTTTGCGGTCGATGAATATAGTTTCGATCCAGGCATCTGGGATGCCCGCTGCGACACGAAGGGAGGCTATCAAATATACTTGGGTATCAAGCTTGGGCTCTTGATACCAGTTCACCCGAAAACGGACTTTTGCTATCACGACGCATAATTTACACGAGCATCAATAATTATGTCTTATGGAAACAAGCACATGGCGTTGGGGGAAGGGGAGCTGTGGTCGGAGAACACCAAGACAGAAAAAAAACAGGGCCGGTGTTTAGTGTTTTTGAATTTGGTGCATTGCAGGGTCGGCTTATGATATTTGATGATGAAAGAGCATACATGATATTCTATGAAGAGATACAAGCAACATATCATGGGGGGTTGCGAGGGTGCATTTTTTTTGGGTATGAGTTTGGGCTGTCTTTTTTCCTCATTTTGAGGTTGGTTGCTGAGGATAATGGATGCCACGGTCTTGAGGTTGAAATGGCCACTGGTTTAGCGGTCAGCTGATGTGGAAAAAGGTAGAAGTTGCAGGGAAGGCGCATAGACGTAATATACGAGACGCATCGGATGGGGAAATGCCGTTCAAGGTGCGTGTTCTAGTTGACAATGGAGAAGCATGGCGCCCTTGACACGTTGTCGTGAGAAATAAGATGGGCATTCGTGTCGCGAAACCAAGTATTTGGCAGCCGTGAAGCTGTACATCCCAGATACTGACTGTAGTACTAGTATACTCGCTGTTTCAGATTTTACGCTTGCACGATACTCGCATCATGCTTGTAATTTCACTTGACTACAGAGCGAAACAATACAAAAGTTAGTATTAGTATACTCAGTGCCACCAAACGTTGTAGGCACCATGCAGTCCGTCAATGCTGACAGTATTGTCGGCCCAAAGCCCAAAGAGCCGACTGAGTGCTCGTAACTTGCCCTCATCCAGGGCAGCCAATTGACCGCGGAGAGCGAAGAAGAGCACTGTGTATTCGCAGCAATCAAATGAGACGCTGTGGCTCGAATCCAGTCCATCAACGACTACAGAGTGGCTGGCGCGTCAAGACGGAGGAACACAAGTGAGAACACGTACACAGGTCTATTGACTTGTCGATAATGATAATTAAAAAAGTGGCGTTTCCCTCTTGGGCTAAAAGCTATCAAATAATCAAATCAAGTCGCTTCAACGTTTTTCGACAGGCGCGAGGCAAAAAGCCGCCGGCGCAATATGTGCCACCTTCATATGCAGGGACTTAAATACATGAATAGACGCGGCACCATCCGACGGTGCGTGGTATCTGGGATGATAACAAAAAAAAAAAAATGAGACGAGACCTTGAACGCCGTTCACCGTATGAGACTCTTATCCACAAAAACACATCTTGTTGGTATTCATTGGCTTTATTTCTTAGGATGCTTGGGCTTGATCATCTTGACCCACCTGCTCTCTTTCTTCTCTTCGTAATTCTCTTCCTTGACATTGTGTTGGCCCACAATGGTCAAGAAGACTTGGTCCAAGGTGGTGGGACTGACGCTGTAGTGACTTAGGCCCAGCACCTCCTTATTTTCTTCCAGGAGGACGATGAGTTGGCCTATGGCGCTGCCTTCGCGGGCGGCGTGCGCCGTGTCGCTGTCGTGCGATTTAATGTCCTCCGGTTCGCTGTTGGCGGATTGCTTTTGGAGGGCCAGCACCTCGCTTGCGGAGACGGAGAAGCGCAGCTGTCCGTGGTACGTCTTTGTGTCTACGTTGGCGGCCGGCAGGCGGGTTTGGATCCACGAGATTACGCGCTGCATTTCGTGGTCGGTGGTTCGAGGGGCGGTCCTGGACACGAGATGGACGTGGAGGATGTCGCCGAAGCGATGGCGGAGATTGTCTGGGGTCCCCAGGGCGAGCATGCGGCGTGAGAGGATGCCCGCTCGTCCAGCGAGGGCGTCGGCCTCCTCCATGCTGTGGGTTGTGAGGAGGATGGAGCGGCCGTGGACAGTGGCCGCGAGCGTCTTCCACATGATTCGTTTGGAGGCGGCGTCGAGGCCGGACGAGGGCTCGTCGAGGAGGACCACGGTGGGATTGCCCATGAGTGCGATTCCCAGACTGAGCTTGCGCTTGTTTCCTCCAGAGAGGGCGTAGCCCATCCGGGATGCAAATGCCTCCAGGCCGACGGCTTGCAAGACTGCCGAGACGTTGTGCTCGATGTCGGGGATGCCGCGGATCCTGGCGTAGAATTCAAAATGCTCCCGAACAGTCATCTGATCTAGGGCATCGACTTGGGGACACACGCCGAGATGTCTTCGTGCAGCGGCCAGGTCTTTGGACACGGATATATCCTCGACGAAGATGTCGCCACCATTACGGCTTGGCTTGATATCGCCCCGGATGAGAGAAATAGTCGTCGACTTGCCGGCACCGTTGGGGCCCAAAAGGGCAAACACCTCGCCGCGCTTGATGCCAAAGCTGACATTGTCTACTGCCGTGTTCTTCCCGAAAGATTTTGTCAGGTGTATGACGCGAAGACCATCTCCCATTTGCCCTGAGCTAGTTACTCGGGTCAGCTCGTCGGCCGTTTCTGCATCCAGCTCTTCAGCAACCGTGACGGGTTTACCGCGGTCGAAAAGACCACGGACAGATGAGCCGACGTTGCCGCTGTCGAACCACAGCAGTAGGCCGAAAAGAACGAGGCATTGGATTATCAGATACAGGATGGGGCCGCCGTACTGCACAAGTCCGGTTGGCGTCTTTGATATTTTGTCGCCGTCGCAGGCCGTTGCAAAGAGATTTGTCGCCAGAAACATGGCTCTGGTTGCGTTCGCAATGGGTGAGAAGACCGAGATGACAAAGTGGCATATGAGCAACGATGAGTCAATGCGGTCAACCTGAACATATGTGACTACACATATGTATGAAATCAGATAACCAAGGAAGAAGACTGCTTGCGAGGCCGCCGACCAAGCAAAAGTTGCCAACTGGGATTTGGTGAACAGGGAGATAAAGTACGAGTATAGGATCGACGCGAGCCCGTACAGGAAGAAGACAACAAAGACATATTCCAGATGATACCAGACGTTGGACATACCAGCCCACAACGCAGTCAGAAGTGCAGTAGAAATGATGGCGACAGTAAAGTCGAACAAGAGGTAGGCTCCCCAAAGCGGGAATGGCCGAACACCGTTGGAATACTGCAGAGCGCGTACAAATCGTCTCCGCTCATTGCTCGGGTAGAGAGCGAAGAATGCGGGATAACAAGACAGCGCTAGGCCCATGTAAATGACAAGACTTAGGGCATCGCCAATACCGGGGTTGAAGGGCACGTCAAACGAGGACCAGGTTGTGGCAATGGTTGTGTTGGTAAGGAAGACGTCGAGGAGCTGCTGGGCAGTGATTGAGCTGCTAATGAACACGTTGGCTACCCAGCCAACAGCGGGATTGGAGTTTTCGTCTCCGAGCCACATCGCCGTGGTGATGTTGCGAAACTCGTCATTGATATGCTGCTTCCAAGAATCAAAGGTATCAACCAGTTTGAGATTTTGTAAAGCGGCGGAGCCCACAGAAGCACCACCTCTGGAACCATTGAGTATCGGTTGCAGCAAGCTGTTCACAGTTGTAATGGGGAGCTTGGAAGTTGGGCCGGCCAGGAAAACAATCGTCATGTTGTTCCTGACTTGGGTAAAGGCGTCCTCGGTTCCAAAGGAGGAGTCTTGGTCAGCGGGTGTACAACCGACTTGTTTCTTGCCCCTGACATAGAGAGCGGTGAGACCAGCGGCAAAGATAGGCAGAAGAAACGCGATGAGATACAATATCCAAGTGCGCTTAAGCACAGTAAGACGCTTTCTGTAGAGAATCATGGCTTGCTTGACGTAGCTAACTCGCTGACCATCGAGCAGCTTAAAACCTTGAAGCGTGGAGCTCCCATTGGAAGAAGATAGGTCCTTCTCATTTGCGCTGTCCACTTCTCTAGGGACACCTGCATTGACATTTTTAAACGCCTCTTCATCGTTGATTTCCTCGGCAAGCTGGAGGAATACATCCTCAATCGTTGGGCCAGAAAAGCGGTACTGAGTGACGCCGGTTTCCTCTAGAGACTTGATGACTTGAGCAGCCAGATTCGACGTGGGTGCCATATAGGTAACCAAATCAAATTCTTGCTGCTTCCGGACTCCCGGAATGCTAGGCAAGTGTGCTGTCTCAGTGTCCCCTCGCACATGAACACGGTACCCGCTGCCAAACCTATCTTTCAGTTCCACAGATGAGCCTTCAGCGCGGAGAGTTCCCTTGGACAGGATAGCAATGTGGTCAGCAAGGAGATCTGCCTCATCCAAGAAGTGGGTGGTGAGAATCAAGGTGCGTCTTCCTCGTTCTGCGAGGAGAATATCCCATATTTTCCGTCGAGATAAGGGGTCCAACCCACTGCTGACTTCATCAACACAGCAAACCGCACTTCCACCAGTCAACATCATCCCCAGCTGCAACTTTCGTTTCTGGCCGCCGGACAGGGTTTTGGCTAGAGCATTGCGTTTGGGAAATAAGTCAATCGCCCTAATGAGTTCCAAAATATCATCTTTGGAAGCGGGAGCGCCTGGGGCCTTTAGTCTGTTGAAAGTGACAAGATGCTCCTGGACAGTTAGATCGTCCCAAAGGACATTTTTCTGCGGTGCAATACCAAGCCCGCCCCTGCCATCGATGGAGATGGAACCGCTGGTCAGCTTGTGCAGACCTGCGATTGCATCTAGAGTGGTACTCTTGCCACTTCCATTTGCTCCGAGCAGGGCGACAATCTGACCTCGACCTGCTTGGAGGCTGAGCTCATTCACGGCCACCACAGGCTCGCGGGGCTTTAATCTGGAACAGAACAGGCGGGAGACGAAGCTGGGATAGTAAATCTTGGTGAACTTGTCCAGTTCAACGGCATTCTCAACCAGCGAGCTCTCGCCGTCGTCTTGAAGTTGAATCTTGCGCCCCTCTGTGGTTGT